TTTGATATTAAACTCGCAGGGAGTAAAATGGGCTTACTAGACTATATGTCACGAAATCCGGTTGGATTACCAATACCCCTCAGCGAATACGATGAGGAAATTGTAGTTGCGGCAATTAACACATTCATAAACAACCTAGAAATGATTGACAATGTCATTTTAAATCAGTTGGCCAGTCAAAAAAAGCACCATTTGATCTGATCAAAAAGCGCGCGGAAAATAAAGAGTTTTTAGATGCTAGAACAAATGCTCAATTAACAACTTAACATTCCAAACATTCCGTCAGCGGTCAATTGCTACCCAAAAACAGAATTCAGTCTAACTCAATTTCTGTTCAAAATTAGTCAACTCTCTCGCATTCAAAAAATCTCAACTGCAACAAGGCATTGATCAACGCAATCAAGTTTAAAACAATGGGCAAAACAGACACGAAAAACTTCTCAGGCGGATTCATTCGGGCAGAGTTGAAAACCACGAAACCAAGCGGTCGTACAGTTTCGGTTGACTGGAGAAACACATCCGATCGGGAAGAAAGCCTTTCCGACCCGAGGTGGCACAAGCGACCACCAACCAAGGACAAACAGACGAGGAAAACTAAATCATCGCCACAATCCACAACAATCGCGCAAGTGGCCGACGCAAGAGAATTGATCACAAAACCGAAACATTCCAATTTTCCAAAAATCATTTTTGGAGACAGCTCGACATCAAAACCAACCGTGGTGGAAAGAAACAGTTCACAAACGACTAAACGACAAACTGAAACAGCGCGATCAAACATATCTACACAAACAACGATAAACACAGAGGTGGAAAGTCGAACAACTAAGTCAACTACAGCTACACATACAAACAACAATACAAGAGACGTTCCTCTACTGGAAAAGGAGATATGGGTCAGCCGCGTGGACCCCAGCGTATGTTTGCAAGAGGAAGCAACACCCGATGTGGAGCCCTTGAAGATGACAACTTCGTCACAGCTAGAGGCCAGCCACAACGAAATAATGGATACCGTCGTGGCCACAGTGGAGAAAGCCACCAAAACCGAAGAGGACACGCCGCTATTTCGTCGGAAACTCCAGAAAGTAATGGGAATTCCATTCGTCGCCGCAGCCACCAAGAAGGACAAAAACCTGCGTTCACTGATAAACTTTGTAAAAAAGCGGGATTCGGACGCCATCAAAAACTCCTACGGACAATATTGGTTCAAAATTCGGAACCGACTACATGTCCGAGAGGATTGCCTACTCATCGATGAAAGAATCGTAATTCCCTCAAAACTACGACAGACAGTACTTGACAGTCTTCACCTAACCCATCCGGGATCCGCAGCCATGTTGGATTTGAGTCACCATGTTTAGTTCCCGCACATCCACCGTTCAATTGTGCAAATGGCACAAAACTGCAAACAATGCACAGAGCAAGGTAAAAATTTAAAACCCATCTTAGGAAAGAAACTTTCATTCCAAATGAAACCGGTAGTCGAACCTAATGAGGGAGTTCAATTAGACTTTGCGGGGCCCTTACCGGACGAATTAAATAAGGATGCATACATTTTAGTTGCGACAGATAAGTGGTCAAAGTTCCCGACAGCAAAAACTGTATCAATTACAACAGCAGATATTGCAATCAAGTTCATGCAAAGATACATCTCGAACAACGGGGTACCGAGAAGATTAAGGTGTGATCAAGCACAAACATTCAGGGCGAAAAAATTCCAAATTTTCTGTAGGACAAACAATATAAAACTACTTTTCGCACCCGTAGAAGATCACAGAGCCATAGGGGTTGTTGAAAGAATGATCCAAACAATAAAACGTAGACTAGCGGTAATGAAAATAGACCAATCAAATACACCATATAAGCTAGCTTCGGATGTCGCAGAAATATTAAAAACACTAAGAATCACACCACACGGTGTCACAAAAATTTCCCCTTTTGAGGCACATATGGGTAGAAAACCAAATACCCCATTATCGAACATAGCCACGAAGAGCTCACCTAACAATCTAAACTGGGAGAGAACAAAAAATTCATGTTTAGAGCGAAAGAACCTTACGAAGCCACCTTTGCCAGCAGAAGCTATGCATGACCTCGGGCGATGGTCAGAAGATGAAGTTCAAATCCGAAAGAAGGGATCACCACCTAGAGTCTCACATAAACCACTACCAAGGACGCTCAGAAACAGGCATTCACCAACACAGCCAGAAACAGGTGCATACTCAAAACCTATAGAACTAGCTAAGAACAAGCTTAACATAAGATATAAGAGAGTGCAACGAACAACCGACAAAAATATCGAAAAAAACGCATAGAACAAGTGGCACAAAAAATCATTCGGTTAGCAACAAAAGTAAAAAAACCCAAAAACGTTTGAACAAAAATATTAAATCATAGATGGAAAAATTCTAACCTACACACCACACACTGCTTGGGTACAAACTTTTGGCAAACAACAGAGGTTACTAAGATATAGCGGAACCGCATTTGTTCCTAACCCGGTAATATACGGACCTTGCAGACCTACTCGTTTAAGCGACTATGTTGCTTACAAATCCGCACGGAGAACATGACCATGCTTGCGTTTCATAGACATAAAAGATCCGCAAGCTCCACAACATCCCATGTTCAAGGAGGATACCACAACGGCGCTCCCATCCAAACTAACAATGCATGAGAAGTCAGCACAGAGCCAGGGCACAAGCAAAGTCAGTCCCACGAAAAGAAAAGCGTTAGGAAAACGGATTGGAAGAAAACCAGTAAGAAAACTGCAAACGCCAAGAGGGATGAGCCTCCAAATTGAGATTGAACAGAAAAACATTAAGGCAGAAAAAGAAGATGATTTGTCGCCAACATCGGAGGTAGTGATAGACCTAACTTCACCAGCGGAAGCAGAAGATGAAACGATGAAAAATGACGACATATTTTGCGTTAACACGAAAGACATAGAAACAAGGCAAGGACATGTAGACGAACAAACGAATAATGAAGAAGAACACGGAACAATAGATGACAACATTGACAACAACACCAAAAAAACAAGAGGGGAGAAATGAATAACCAACGCAAACAGTCCTACGGGGACTTAAAAACTCAATTAAACTTTATCAATTATCACTAGGAGGGGGAATGTCATCCGGCATGGATAGATAAAACTCCATATAAAACTTCTTATGTATTTATATATCATTTATGTTTTGATATTATATAACATTAATGTGTACTGGTCGGTTGACCTTGATAACAAGGACGAGAACGGCGTCTGAAGAGAACTATGGTTCAGAACGTAAATAAAAGTTACATAAACAGGTTGTTTTAACTTCTTCTCTCTCAAACTCGACATTATCTATCCATACGGACTCCAGGATTAACAGTTCATACCTTGAGGACATAGCAGTATGACATGGCGCAGTCAGCAGGATTTTCGAAGAATCCACTCAACATAAACCCATTTTGGGAACGAGCATCGGCCGAACCTCCATTAGAGTGGACAAAATGGGCGGCAATACTGGAAATGGCAGTATTCGCGAAAGTCGGCATCGAAATTTGAAGTCCCCTACGAACAAGACCACAATTAGTAGAGCCATCTGAACCAGTAAACGAGGTCGAGATAACCGGTGAAACGTAAGCCTAAAGAAAAAACCGCGAGGTGCGCAACTAAGAAAAAAGAGTGGGCTGGGAAAACCACGTGATAAAAGTGCGGGGAAAAAGGAGTTCTGTGTAATTCATTCAGATGGGATGAAGCGGACTCAAAAGTGCGCAGCTATCTTTTCTTGTGTCTCGGTGCTGAAGAACGACGCCAAATGCAACAAAAACGACCTAATATACAGCTGCACACGGTATCTACACAACAATTCATGACTGTTTTGGAGGATATATTCGTCACGACACGTATAATAGCTTTTGAAAGGTATAATTTCATTTGTCGAAAACAAAAGAAAACAGAAAGTTTAGAACAATTTCATGCTGACCTAGTGGAACTAGCTTCACGGGCCGATTGCGGCGACTGAGAAAGTGAGCGGGTAAGGGACATGTTTACCGCTCACATGAACAACGAAAGAATTGTTAGCTCAAACACGTAACCCACAGGAGGCATACGATTACGATGATATCATTTTTGTGAAATAGGTGAAAAAAAGGTCAGATTTTGCTTTTTCATTTGCCATGGAAAAAACTGAACCGCAAAATTTGTTTCCTTTTTTTCTGTGATAACTAGGACACCATTCGCACTAAAAATAGGACTAATCCAGTTCCTTTTCATGGTAAATTATAGGCAAAACTTCGACCAGCTTGGCATCATCTCACAAACCACAGGATTGAGCTGAATTGTAAACAATGGCCCGTTATTGACTTTTTATGTGTGATGGGATCAAGTTAACATCTGCCACTTCTAACTAGACCAAGTTAAGATCTTCCTCGACATTTAATTTATAGTAAATTGGCTCAGCACTGCGTTAAAATTCTCACTTCTTAATGGCTGAAAAATTTTGTTTTGAGCCAAGTTAACATCCCCCCCCCCCCCCTAAATCGCTTTAGTTGGAAGATGTTAATTTGATCCATGCGATTTATAGCAACGATATGTTTGATATGTTTCGACTGTGCTCGACCCAAAACTCTGTCTCGACTAGTCTTTCTCGGTCGAGCACTGACCTTGAAAGTCGAAGCATAATCAGCACCTCGACCCGGAAATGATTTGAGATCTACTTGACAACCCACTTTTCGATTGTCATGTAGATTAAGTTAGTCGAACTTTCGTCCAATCAGAAACCAGCAAAATTAATATATTCTCAAAAGAAAGCTCTAGCGCTAATTTACAGCTGCTTTTATCTACAGGGATGGATATTCTTTAGTAGCTCCCTAGCCAATCAGGGCAGGTTATCTTGCAAGACCTAGCAAGATGACCCTCATTTGCAAGAATCTTGCAAGATCCCCTTCCTTGATCGACTAGAGAGATACCATAGGGGGGGGGGGGGGTGTTGAGCAGATGCATGATTTGTTACCTTTAGGATGGTGGGTGCGACTGGATAAGTGGATCCTTGAATTGTATCAGCAGTTGGGCTGTAGAGGGTCTCTGTGGGGAAGGGACAGTCCAGAGTGGCTCTCACGATCATTGCGTAAGAAGAAGACGGGGAGAGACCAGTGAATTCGTGGCTGCTTGACGAGTCCGCAGTCCCAAACGTCCCCGTTGCCAGTCTGCCCTCTACCGCTGCATGCAAACAAAAAACAAAATTACAATTTTGGCTGTTTTTGAATCTTCATAACAATCTTTAGCTTCCCTGCCGTCTTGCCTCCCCCTTCCCCGCCGTCTTCACCCCCCCCCCCCCCTTCCAATAGCACAAAAACTGGATTTTGTGCTCGAGCCACTGAGTTTGTAAGGTTGTATGTATGAAGAATCTGTTTGGAAATTGGTATTTATCATGCATAGGAAAATTCATAAGACCCGAAACTTAGAACCTTTAAGTTTAATATGATAAAAATCATAGTTTGCTACAAGTTATCCCTCCCCCCCCCCCTTAGCTCACATGTAACTTCTCCAGTGGTGTCGTATGTAACTGTGATGGAAGTGGTGGTTGACCCATTCACTGCCACATTGGTCGGCTTCGCTGGCAGACTACAGGCCGGCGTCAGATCAGTCTCGTCTCCTTGGATCTCGTTGTTGTAGCCGTGTGCCACATACACGTAAGTCGTACCTGCAAACAGACCAGACCAGAGCATTTAAAAAATAAGTTTTTTTTCCTTTGCCGCTCTAAAAAAATATGTTTACGATTTTCCACGAGGCTAAAACCTGCCTTTTCATCTTTTTTATTTGCTTGTGGTTTTTTGTTTTTTGCTCCGCGTACGAAGAGTGTGATGGAGCATTTCTGCTCGCGCATATTTTTGTTTCTCCGGACCAACTAGTATTTCTCACAATCAGATTTTTTTCAAGTTAGAGTTTTTTCTTGAACGTCGTGTGATGATAGAGCTATACAAACGGTGCGTATTCATAGGTTCCAAAATCAAAAATCAGTCCCATAGGTTCCAAAATAAAAAAGCAGTCGCATAAGTTCCAAATCTTTTCAATTGGTCAAAAGACTAAATTAGCCGAGTCTCGGTTTAAGGTAGCCGGTGGGCGCGCTATGCGCGCGTCGCCGCTTTGCGGCGATAACCGGCTCTAAATTTCGTATAGAGTCCTACCCTTTGGTGGCAAGCTCGCAACACGTTGGCGCGGCTGCGGCGGTCACTATTCTGCAGCTTGAGTTTATACTGGTTGAACAGTAAACAATCGATCCATAAATTCGTTGGCTCAAATTTCAACCAATCAGAATTCAAGAAGATACATTTTGGAACTTATGCGACTGATTTTTTATTTTGGAACCTATGAATATTGGAACCTATGGGAATTCACCATACAAACGCGTGGAAAATTAGTGTACAAAGTTCCCCCTTATTTTCAATGGTCGGAACAAAAATTCTGCTCTTCACTTCGTTAATTGGAATCCGCAAAACAACAACAGGCAAACAATGAAAAAGGTCTTAAAAACTTTTAAATGAGCAAGTCACATCAAACTCTATCTGCTATTTTAATGTCTCTCATAATGTTTTTGACATGAAAAAAAAACAACACAAGCGAAAACTAGCTCCCTTGACAAACTTGTAACACTAGCCTGACATAAAGCCAATGCTTAGAAATTGCCAATGCTATGCTGCAACAGAGGCACCAGATATAATTAGACTCACATTTTGCTTGTAATAATCTGGAATATACTGAGCTTAAGACCCCGAAAGGAAATTTACATGTAATGAATCGGAAAAAATGAAAACAAATTTTGAATCAATTATGGATTTTGAAAAAAAGCCAGATGTATTGAGTGTGAAAGTTTCTGAAATAAAATTTTTATTTTTGCACTGTTGTTTGAAACACAGAGTTTTGTTTCGGTTCCTTTGATGAACCAAAATGCATCAATTGTGTTAACTTAATTTTTATCGGTTGTGAAAGCGATAAAAAAAATAATTAGGTTTAAAAAAATAATAGCCGTATTATTACACTGCGCTTGCTTAAACGCGCAAGTGTAAACAAAAAAGTTTTTTTTTTCCCGAAAATTATAAACCCTATATGGTATACATTGTGCTAAAAAAAAGTAGACGCCCTGGTCAGAAACCGACCTCTGAACTATTAAACGTCAAGCATGTGCGATAGCACTAGATCAATGGGCAGCTGAACTATAATCATAGCTAATCGAATATTGGTAAAAAGTATTGAACGCAGGTAAACAAAAACAACACTGACTTTCTTGAAAAAATCTCAAAATTTGAATTTCAAAGAAAAAACTGAAGGTGCCTTTTAAAGACTTAGAGTTTCTAGAACAGTTTTTGATTGGCGCTTTTTTGATAACATGAACCCAATTTGAGAAAACTGGATCAACAGGTAAAATTTTAATTCCGCTGGGAAATCTCAAAAGTTAATTCCTCTTTCGAAACTAGAAATAGATCACGTTTTTTGCGCCATTTCTACGTTTGTATTTGGAGATTACTTTTTAAGTCACTTTCAGCAGATGAATTTCAATTGAACTCAAAAAGTGCATTACACCTAAGTGCATCAATATTGTAAGACTTTTTCCTGAAAAAAAAAACAAATCAGCAAGACCTATATAAGAGTCGTCACTACGTTAATTACTCTGAAAAACGTTTCTCAACTTTTCCAACAGATTTGTGAGAAAAAGCATTTAGTAAAAAGCATAGGCGCCAATTATTAAAAACTCCCGCTTGAACGTGTAATAAAATTGGGTTTTCTAATTCTAATTTAGGAACATATCCAACTGACACAAGGAACGCAAGGAAACTGAAAAAAACCGATTTGATTTTTGAATAACCTTCAATCTTCACTTTTTCGTTAAACTTAACCCAATTTGGGTGATCGGTTGCCAAATTCCGCTGGGAAATCTGATAATTAATTTCCATTTTGGAAACTAGAAGTCGATCACGCTTTTTGTGACATTTACAGTTCAGCTGTTCGATAGTGGAGTTTACCTTCCTTTTAACAATAGAAATGCATTGAACTTAAAAAGAAATCACAAGTCAAACCGCGAGAAATCAAAATTCAGCGTGAAAAAATTTTAAGACTTTTTCCTGAAAAAGAAACATATAAAAATCAGCAAGACCTGTATAAGAGTGTTCATTACGTTCATTACTCGTAAAAGTATTCAAAAAATAAATTTTATTTTGAGAATGGAATAATTATAGAAGAACAGACAGGGGCGGATCTAGGATTTTCTCGAGGGGGGGGGAGGATTTTCAAAAAAAATTCGAAAATTTTGACGACCTTTTTTTTTTAGGTCGACCAAATTGATTTTTCGAGCTCTCCCAAAGCATTGTTTTGCCCCTATTTTGCAAAATTTTCTGCGCGGCAGGCAAATTTTTGAAAAAACAGTCAAAAAAGCCGATTTTGGGCACTTTTTGAAAAATTTTGACAAAAAATTGCATTTAGTTTGGCGCGCGCTCCCCCTCAGAGTTAGTATATATTGGCGTCGAAGGCGCCTTTAGGAAAATTTTAGGGTCGGTCGACCAAAAATGGATTTGTGAAAAAGTATCAAAGGGGGGACCCCGCCCCCGCCCCCTTCCCCTAAATCCGCCCCTGAGAACAGAAGAACCATTTTAAATCGAACACAAATTAATTTAATCGATTTGAAACTTTATCAAAAAATTATGCGTATGAGAATTGAGTACTGGTACTTATTACTGTAAATGGACTAGCCTGGAGTTCTGCCGGAGTCTATGTGTGAGTCACCGTTCTTCAGGTCCGTTGCGATCACGGTTCCGTCGTTGCGAGAGATGGTGATGTTGGTGACCTAGCAGAACAACACGTTAGCTAACATATAACAACAACTGCAAGTTACATAACTATTTAAGATCAACGCGCAAGTTACATAACTATTCAAGATCAACGCGCAAGTTACATAACTATTCAAGATCAACATCAACAAGCTAGCTAAATCCCGGACCGAAGGTTCATGGATAAAAATCGATTATAATGGATTTTTGTTGACTTAAATGTTATCTATATAATCAATAATCATGGCAAATTCAGACAATGTAATGGATTTTTAAAACATTTTAATCGATCATTTTCGAAAATTGAAAACTCCATTATAATTGATTATAATGAATTTTTGTTTTCAATGTAATGGTTTATTTTTTTGTACATCAAATCCATGAAAATTGATTAAATTTTGTATATAATGACCCTAATGTTTGCAACTTCCTGCAAAACTCGAACGAAAACGTTCATCCAGGGGCAGCCAATATGCAGTAAATTTGGAGAAGCCAATATGTTTGACCAGTTTTTGACGGCAGTTTAACGGCATTTTTGACCAGTTTTTTTTCAATAAATTTGTCTGCAGCGCTGAAAACTTGGTCGAAATACGGTCTTTTTAGTGTCGTAAGAGTGCTCGGAAAATCAATTGGCCGACGTCCCCCCATTAAACGCGGGTGAAGGAAAAAGTTAAAGTTTAGCGAGTGAAAAAAAACTTACTTAAGTTTAACACTATATGAAAAAAAGTAAACAGCCCACCGAACGATTTTAATATATGGATTATAATCCATTATTATCGAATAAAATTGATTATTTTTCTTTTGAAAATAAGTTTTTTGAAAGTAAGTTGGAAATAATTGATTATAATCGATTATATTTGGATTTTAAGGCTTAAAAACAGTATCATTATAATCCATTATTTGATATTTTATAGAGACTGACAATGAAAAATAAACGATTATTATCCATGAAACTTAGTACGGGATAACTATTCAAGATCAACAAGCAAGTTAAGATGGTAGATTACCATTCCAACAAGCCATAAAGTATTATTATTATGCAGCATAACAGCAGTTTTTATTAGCCAATTATAAGCCGAAACTAATTGATATTCAATAGACTTTCGTTTTTTGAAATGTTTTCGAGTATTCTGGAGACAATTTGTTTTGATGTGATTTTTTTTGGATTGTCTGTTATGACGTTCAGCAGACACATCGTAACAATTATGAAAATGGATGTTGAAACATGGTACTTGGTTATTACTGTAATTTGACTACCACTGAATTAAGTACCGAAATTTGCCATCTATTTTAAGAAACTTAACTTGAGAGTATCCTCGAAGCTCATTGAACAGCGTTTTAAACAGTTCACAAAAAAATTCAAACATGGTGAGCATTTCTTGCTTTTCCATAAATTAACGAAACTGCTCGTAATAGGGCAAGGCCTTGAATGTTCCGATTGCATTTTACAAATAAAAGTAATTGCGACCGCATTTTAAATAAAAATAAATAAAACAAAATATTTGATAAAATTTTCAAAAAAATAACAGAAAAATCTTCAAAATTAGTTTCTGATCTTTTTATTTAAAATTCAGCCCCCCACATGCTATGCAAGTGATATATTGGTCTTGAACAAACCAAAGAGCATACCTCAATCCATTTTGGATCGATCTGCATATTAAATTTCCTCTTACTCATTAACAGCACGAAATATATCGCTCGTTAAAAGTCCCACATTGGCAATCTTTAAACCCGCATAACTTCACGAAGATGATCACCGGTGAAAAAAATATTAGTCAAAAATTTCTATTTAAAAACGTGTTAGTTGAAAGTTGTCTGGAGAAAAAGACACAGAGAACAAAAATTCCGTCATTTTCTTCGAAATCGAAACTCAGAACAACAAGAGTTTCCGATTTGTTTGTTTATTTATTTTTGAAAGGCAACATGTATCATAAAAATTGGTAGCAGTATATTTTATCATATTTCTGATCTGAAAATTATTCAAGATTTTAAAAAATTCCACAAAATTGCGAAAACTTTTTTCAATATGAGATCTAGAGCCTAATTGTTCCGACTTTCGAGGAAAGTGACGGAATACTTGTGCTCGGGTTGGTTTTTTTCTCCAGAAAAACATGAAAATTTCAACTAGCAAGTTTCTGACTGAATTTTTATATCATTCAAAAACTATTGCTGTCCTGAGCTCAAATTGTAAAAAATATATGTTTCATCTGTGATCATTTTTCTTAAAGTTATGGGGGTTTAAAGATGGCCAATTTCAGGACAATTACCGTGCAATTTATTTCGTACTATTAACGCGCAAGCGGATAATATAATTGTTCCAATTTTCAAAGAGAGTGCGGAAAATCTATGCTTGTTCTTGTTGCAGTTTTATTTTATTCAATCAATTTTCGACTTGTTAAAAAAGCGTTTTTGACAGAATTTTCTTATACCATCTAAGAATTGATCTTATCTTAAGCTCAAATTTAAAAAGATATTTCATCTGTGATCATTTCTGTTCCGACTTTCGAAGAAAATGGAATATTTATGCCCGTTGTGGTTTTTTCATTCAGTCTATTTTCGCCGATCAGAATAATAGTTTTCGACAAAATTTTTTTATACTCCATTGAAGATATCCACATGCTGAGTTCAAAATTAAAATTATATTTTATCTGCATTTATTTTTTGTAAGGTTCTGGGAGTTTGAAATCGCCAAATTGTCCATGTTCCGGACTAAATTATGTGCGCTTTGAAGAATTTTTTCGTAATGCTGAGAGCGTAACGCGAATTTTTTATGCGTGGTGACATATTCCGCACAACAAAATCGTTCCAAGTTGAGTTCAGGCTAGCTAATCAATCGTATTGATAACGTACGACTCAAAATATCACACTTTGATTTTTCCAAAATTTATAGGTTTTCAATATTTTCTTTTCCCAGAAGCTATTCAATTTGAATTAAGAGACAGTCGGAACATTCAGGGCATTCAGCCCTGATATACGAGCAGTCTTGTTTGTGAAGTTACGAGTCTTTGAAATTTATTAATTTGGCCAATCTGTTATAAATAAAATGCAATATTTTGCGTACTTATGACGCGTATGAAGCACATAACTGCGTTCCAAATTGAATTGAGGCCAGCAATTTAATCCTATTATCACAATTGAGACGCTAAACACACCCTTATTGTTTTTCATAGTGTGTGTGTGTGAGAGAGAGAGAGAGAGGGGGGGTGTAAAATGAAGAAGAAATGAAAACAAAATTTTCTTCTTTTCAATTATTTTGTCAATTATTCAACCAAAAAACTCAATTGGCCTTAAGTGTAGACGGACCATTCAGGGCTTTGCCCTGATGTACGAGCAGTCTTGTTCGTATTAGAAATCGTTCCAAGTTGAATTGAGGCATGCTCTTTGGTCTATTGAATACTTTGGTTTATGCAAAGTTTATCACTTGTTCTTTACATAGCTAGTGGGGGGGATGATTTTCAAATAAAACAACAAAAAAATTTGAGCTTTTTTATTTTTTTTTTGAAAATTTCATTAATTTTTCTGTTTTAAATTACTATATAGAAATTTAAACGCAGTCGGGGCATTCAGGGCTTCGCCATGATACAAGTAATCTTGTTTTTTATTTATTTCATTTGCCAAATATTTGCAACGATCTACATTTTTCAGTGTATGCCCTGCAAGGAGTAATATTGAAGTTGATGTTTCATCAAAATTCATAAACAAATATTTATTTGATTTTATTTTTTTTTTCATCATCAAATTCGACGTTTTTCAGTTCCAATAATAAATGCACTGTCGGTTTTCATTTTTAGCCAAATAAGAAATTGTTGTGACATCGGAAAATACCATTGCATAGCTTGTTACAATGTTCAGAAAGATCAATGAAGAAAAATTAGGAGGCGCGACACAGAATCTTGTGGCTTGCCATGTTCATATTTCAATGACTGCGATGATTTTTTATTCGCATAAACAAACTATTCACAAATTGAGAATTTCAAAAAAGTTTTCTCTGAACCATAATACATTTCCAACATTTGCTTCTGGTTGTCTGTATCTAAAGTTTTCTTCAAATCAACAAAACAAGATAAGCCATGAGCGGATGAGAGATTAGGGTTGGGGTGGTTGTGATGGTGGTGGTAGGGGGGGGGTTGAGAGATTTCAACAATACACACCTGGTCGGTGGTGTTCACCGTCAGCAGAATTGAAGTCGGGGAGAGGGGCAGGGTCGCCAAGGTCACCGACCTCGGCATAGTCTTCACAAGTGTGCCAGCTGGTATACTCTCTAGAGTTTCTCCGGTGGCAGAACACGTGTAATAGGAAATGACATTCACAAAGTAGGTCTCGGAGGGTGCCAAGTGAGTGATGTTCACGTGAGTGTCCGTCCCGACGTCGCCGACTGTCCCTGAACCCTGCACATACCACTTGTATCCTGTTACACCTGGCAAGGGGTCCCAAGTGACCATTGTCCACGTTGAATTGGTCACAGAATAGCCCACGTTTTTGACCTTGTCGGGGTAGGTGCAAATTTGAATGACCGATGAGTTGGCGCTGTCTGCACATGCAGGCGCCGCTTTGCTCAGACTGTACATCACATGATAGGCGTACGTGGTAGCGAAGTCATCTACGATGTCCACCGTAGATCCGGACCGAATGTTGGACTCGACGACTGAACCGTCTCTATACACAGACACCCTGTAGTTGGAGTTGTAGTTTGTGAACGAGATCGTGATCCTCTTAGCGTTTGCAGCCGAGTTCCTCACCTCGATCACTGGTGTCTTGGGCGCAGTGAATTGGGTGGTTGCGACCACACCCGAGAAATAATACTTTCCAGTGTAATTGCAGAGAAAAAATGACCTGAAAGTAAAAAACATTGTCAATATAGCTCAAGATAATTATCTTTTTGGTCTTTTAAAAACGAAATAACGGAAAAAACTCGGTCAGTTTAAGCTGATTTTTGGAACAAACAATGACAGGGAGGCCAAACTGTGCATTCTGTGCATTGTAAGCGGATTCCGCAACGGGCCAAAATCAGAAATTTTTTCCGCAACGGGCCAGAAATTTTTTCTTAGGTCTTTTTTACATCAGAATACATAAAATCAAAAACCATATATGAAACTCGAAATCTCAGGATTTTTCGTTAATTTTATAATTATGCTGTTGTTTTTTGCGGAGTTGGCTTTCTTTTTAACACATAAAATGAATTGAACTTTAGAAAAAATTAAGTTAAACCCTGAAAAATCAATTCAATGAATAAATTGTTAGACATTTTCATGCAAACAAAAAGAATTATCACTATCTACAAAAAAATCTTCACCGTGTTCATAGACAGTTTAAAAGAACCTCCCCCTCCCATCTTAAGCCGCAACTGTACTTATGAGGTTGCGACTATGTGAAAAAAAAATATTCCACAAAAACTTTCCGATTTTTTGACTTTGATCAAGTTTCGCTTCTAAATTTTGCTCCGGCAAGGGATTTACTATTTTTCTTTACTTTTTTTCTTTTATAGTGGAGTTTTTATTGTTCCGACTTTCGATACGAAATTAACGGAATATTTGTGCTCGGGGTGGGTTTTTTTTTTCTTCAGACAAATTTCGACTTTTTAACTAGCCATTTTTCACGGATTTTTTAAATATCATTCGAAAGGTATTGTTGTCCTGAGCTCAAATTTGAAAAGATATTTCACCTGTGATCATTTTTCACAGTGTAAAGTTATGGGGGTTTAAAGATTGCCATTTTGGCCAATTTGGGACAATTAACGCGCGATATATTTCGCGCTATTAACGCGTAAGCGGAGAGTTAATCCGTCTTAGAAATCGTTCAAAAATTGGTTTAACGAAGCTTATTTGCCATAATTGATTTGTTACAAGTAACGAAATCTATCCTTTTGTTTTTTATATGGCGTGTGGGGGGATGATTTTTATTTTAAAAAAAATTCAAATTTTTGAAAAAAAAATTTCATTTTGTTTTATTACTTTTAATTTTTAATGATATTATTACTCCATAAACCTTAATGGGCAGTCGGAACATTCAGGGCTGCGCCCTGATACAAGCAGTCTTGTTCCATTTAACAAAGAAAATATGCTGAGCTTGAAAAAACATAAAAAGTCAGCAAGGAAGAAAGCAACCGCGAGCATAAACAAATTTCCAAACTCTTGAAAAGGTAATTTAAGAATTGAAGAAGGATAACTGAAGAAATTTTTGAAAAAAAATTACAAGTTTCGAGTTTTTTTTAATCATCCAGAAATTAGGACAAATAACTTGTTACTACCAATTTGGAACGATTTCTATGAGTAACAAGACTGCTCGTATACCTAGGCAAAACCCTGAATGTTCCGACTTACTCTTAATTCCTATCGAGTAGTTTTTGTGAAAAGAAATTATTGAAAACCAATAATTTTAGACAATATCAAAGTTGAAATTTTGAGTCGTACGAATTGAATACGACCGACTAGCTCGACTTAATTCAGTTTGGAACGATTTCGTTGTGCGGGATAATTTGCCACGCATAAAAAGTTTGCGTTACGCTCTCAGCATTATGAATATCATCGTAAGTGCGCATAATTTAGTCCAGAACATGGCCAATTTGGCATTTTTTAAACCCACAGAATATAATAAAAAACGGAGGAAAAATATGGGGTATAAATTTTTTCAATGGGGTATAAAATGTTTTTGTCGAAAACTATTATTCTGATCGGCGAAAACTGACTAAATAAAAAAACCACACCGGGCATAAATATTCCACTTTCTTCCAAAGTCTGAACAATTAAATTTCCGCTTACGTCAAATTGGCGATCTTCAAGCCCTTATAATTTTATGAAAAATGATCACAGGTAAAATATCTTTTGAAATTTGAAATTTAAAGACAATAATACCCTTTGGCTGATATAAAAAAAATTCCGTTAAAAATTCTTAGCTAAAAAATCGAAATTTGTCTGAAGAAAAAAAGCCACCCCGAGAACAAATTTTCCTTTACTTTCGTTACGAAAGTCGGAACAACAATCATAGTAATTATAATAACTGTAAGTGCTAACTCAAGTTCGAGGCTGTGAGGAGTGCCTGGATTGAGTCCAGTGAAGGTCTTGGTGGTCGTGGTCTGATTCGCCCAGTCCTCGTAGCCGATGTTGCGCACACTGTAGCCGTCAGAAGTGTCACTATCCCAACTTACAGTGATGGAGTTCAGGTCGCAAGAGGAGACTGAGAAACCTGTCGGGTGAGCCGGCAACGTGCAGTCCCATAGCTAAAAGTAAACTTTTTAGCGGCACCCAAAAAGCGTTGAACCAAAGCATAAGTGAAGCGAACGAATAAAATAGACAGTCTTCTAGGAAGCTGAAAAAGCAAAATACAAATTGAAAAAACAAGTCTACTAACAGTACCATTTGACAAAAGCGTTGGTTTTTTGTATGAAAAAAAAAACGTATGAGTCCATACTGTTAAATTTGTATTCCGACCAATTCATTGAGAAAACCATAAAACCATAATTCCGACCATAATTCAGTTGTTTAAAATGGAGAAAAAGATCATGAAGTGCATTTAGATTCGAAAAAGAGCAACGGCGCGGTTGAGGACACCTGTTGAAGATACCAAGTGTTCAAAACGCCCGCAAAAGTATATTTCTATCTGGGTTATAAAACAATCTGGCAAATAAAACAATTAGAACAAAGTGTTGGCCAAGTTTTTGAGAAAAAATGAAGTAGTGAATATGGAAACACCTTTAAAAGCACACAAAAATAGAAAAGATTGAACATTAGCCGTGGGTCAAGTTCCCACTCTTTCAGGTTCTATCCCCACTCTACAACTATTTTTTGATAAAATAATCTAAATAAAACAAAACCACCCCAAGCATACAAATTTCTCACTTTCTTCAAAATTTGGAATAATGACTATTTATTTTTGAAGGGAAGAGGCCGGACAGCTGGGTTGTGAAGGGAGAAATGTGAATTTGCGATTTAGGATTCCCACCAAGGAAGATATTTGCATCTTATAATTATTTCTAGGCCAGGTATTTCACCAGAGCGACTTTTTACCAGACCACAGAACAATAACCCGGACCGAGGTCGGGGACTTAGGTTGCGAATCAAAATGGGTTAACTGCATCTTTGCGCAACCAAAGTGTTTTGCACGACGCGACGTTGCGCGGCCCAAAAAATATTTGTTGCAACTTTGCGCCACTCAAAAAAGATATGATGCAACTTTGCGCGACCAAGAATGTTTGATTGTTTTCTAGTTTTTTTTTGTTGACAACTTTGTTGAAGACTGAAAATTACCTTATATTTTACTTTGAGATCTGGTGTAGACCTTCTCTTGGCAGTCCTGTATATGATCAGCTAATATGCTGGCCTAGCTAACTCACAATAAAAACTCATGCATACCTAATTATTTTGCATTTGCATCTGTATAACCTTGTTGCGAGCAAAAAATCCGAAAAAGTTTCGAGACTAAAACTGCTTGAAATTATCGATTCTGCTATTTTAGTTTTTGGGTTAGAAGTTGGGCAAACAAAAAAATAAATGAGCGACCCACGTGGCAACTTATTTTGTGACTTTGAGTGACAAATGTTGCGACTTTGTGCGACCCAAGTTGAGACATTGCGCGACTCAGATCGAGTGAGGGTATGGATTTGTGGTCTAGGAAAGTTCATTCCAGCGACCCATTACGGAAAAAATGTCTTTAACCAGACAAGACGGTGTCACTACACTTGTTTTCGTCAAATTTGTTTATCAAGTCTGGTAAAAAGCCCAGGTTTTAATTTGTCTGGAAAACGTCGGTCTGGTAAAAGGTCCCTGAACTATTTCATAACAACTGAGGTACTTACGGAAGTCTGATCTGACCAATGTCCATATCTCTTGACCTGGGTATGCACGATGTAAGCAGAGGCTGGTTGCAAGGTCACAGATATATCCTTCAAACTAAGATGCGCACCTTCTGATGAGAAATTGCCTATCATGGCTAAATTTTCTGAAGAGATCTTCCCTTTGTAGTCTTCATAAACCATGTCGTATTGTCCATAGATGCTCACAAGAATGTCGTCAGAGGCTACAGGTGTCAATGTCATTGTCGGAGTTTGTGGAGCTAAACAGAACAACTTCATTATTTATTAATTGCAGCCCAGTGATGTCCGTCTATCTATGTTTAAAAAGAAGGTTGTTTTCAATTACTAAAAGCGCTATTTAGAGAGTGCGAGGACGCTCCTTCCCCTCAGGATCTGACCCCCTCATAAACAAAACGGTCCCCCTTTTGAAATTATTTTATGATATCCAACTTAGGCCGAACAGCCCTAAAAAAATTTTCAACGCCATTGGCGCCTAAAAATACTAATTTTGAAGGGGAGCGCGCGCCAAAAAAACAACGAAAACTTCTGGTCAGAATTTTCCAAAAACTGCCCAAGGACAGAATTTTTGGTCTCTTTGTTCAAAAAATTTGCATGCCGCGCAAACATTTTGTCAAAATAGGGTCTTCATAGTGTTCTAAGAGCGCTCGGATAACCAATTTAGTCTACCTAAAAAAGGTTGGATATTTTTTTTGAAAATCCGCCCCTCCCCCAACCTCGAGAAAATCTTAGATCCCCCCTCGGCGCCACAGTTTCCATTTTACGACTCGTAATGTTTAAAAATTACTATCAGCGTACCCACCTAACTTGTGTAAGATTTTATTCGGTAGCATTTACATTTTTAAAACGGGCGAGTTAATTACAACAACCTTCTCTTTTGTTTTGAAAGAGCAAAAACCTAGCTTAAGAGCTTTGCAACTTTTCCTAGCAGTTCAATTGAAGCAGAAAAATTGAGTTTGATTTTGAACTTTTTTACTCGCAAAACTATTGTGAAATTTTTACTTCTTACTGAACATCGCCAAAACGCTTCAACCTATAAATCTTACTAAAAACACTCTTGAATTTTATCGCTTGTGAGCTTGCTTCAAAAACATTAGTTTGCGAACCGGTTCAAACCATGAAAACAAGCGAAGAATTTTAAAGTTTTATATCCTGATGGCTTGATATTCGGTAACCAGTTCAGACTGTCAAAACAACTTGAAATGTTTAAAAAAGGGCTTGATAGTTTGCTCAAGCTTTTTCCTAAACAGAACAATCTATTATAGTTCTCGGTTGCTCAACGACTCATACAAAAAATGTGTGAACCAATTCAATCTATGAAAACAACTTGAAATGATTTGCAGCCTCGTCCCTGGTAAATTATTTCAGACTTTTTTCATCGAGAACAATTTCAAGCCCATAAAAACAGCCTAAAGTTAATAAATGTTTCTTCTCTTGATGACTCTCGAAACAATGGTAGCAAAGCAATCAAGAAAATTGAATTAAATAAGAGTTTCATGGCTCAATACTTGAAAGTGCCATCAAAATTTAAGGTGTCAACATGACTCAGATTTCTCTAAGTTTTTGAAGCTATCAATTTTGACGTCATCGTTTTTCATTTGATTAGTTTGCTGGAAAAAAACGTTTTGGGAAACAACCCAGTCTATTCAAACCAAAAAATATATTTTTTGAGTTTTAATTCTTTAAAAAGTTTGCATATAAAAAAATTTTCCAATTCAAGCTTAGCTATCAAAACATTTTGAGAAAAATTAAATTCGCCTTGCTTGAACTAATTTTACAAAAAAAAATGTTTGTTTCATTTTCAGATTTGTTTGCTAAACAGTTTAAGCAAAACGAACGTTTCGCTCAGTTGAATTATCTGAAAGTTCAACCGTTTTAAGAGCTTGCTTAAGTTTACTCGTGAGAGCACATTTACATTTCAAAGTTTTACTCGCTTGTTCATGATTGTAGCGCAAACTTATATTTTTCGATTTGCCATAAATAATTTTATTTCTGGAATTTTCTTGAATTGTTGTTTTTTTGCTTGACACAAGGATTTAAACTGATTGGACCGTTTTTACATTTTGATTGCTGGAAAACGTTCCTTGCTCGGACAAACGTTTCAAGATATTGTTTATTTGGTTAGAATACCCGAAAAACCTCATCTTGTTTCAAAACCTATATCGTCACAAATCCACTGAAGCCATCATAATTGACTTAAATCAAAGTGAACATTTTAAAATGAAGTCAGTCAGTTCTAAGTAAAAATTTTATACAGTTCATTGACGCACTTAATACGCTATAGTTACCAAATTTGACAACTTTGTACCAAAAAAAACTTAAATTTGTTAATAGCTAAGATATCTGAGTGAAACCTAATTTAAAAAAAAACTCATAGGTGAAATATATTTGACCTCTAGGTACCCTCTTTTTACTAATTTTTGGCCTTTTTTCAAAAATTTGCGAGCGGCGCAAATTGGGGTCTCTATAGTGGTTTGGGAGAGCTCAGAAAATCAATTTGGGTCGACGTAAAAAAAAGTCGACAAAATTTTCGATTTTTTTTTTGAAAATCCGCCCCTCGAGAAACTCCTAGATCCGCGCCTGGTTACTGCATATAAATAGAACTGCGGAAAATCCGAATGAAAAAACGCATTAATTTTTTTTGACGATGCATTCAACAATTCCATCAAATTTTTTTTGGCGATACATTCAGTGATTCCTAAGCGTGGTCGTCTTCAAGTTGCACCCAATTTAGCTACAAATCGAGACGACCATAAAGTTATGTATGCCATATGCAACTGCTCATCAATCAGCATGGATACTTACCTGTACATGTTCTAAGGCTTGTTGCATCCCCTGTGACGTTTTCGGTGGTTGTCGTACCAAGGATGTCATAGCAATTGACAAAAGTTGATACAAAAACTGCGTAGCAGGTCTCCGGTTGCGCGCTGTAGGTAGCACTAATTGTAGCAGTTTGCATTGTCTTGACATCACGGCTCACTCCTAACTCAGGAATATCAACGTAGAACTGGCTGTACCGACCCAAAGTCGGAGCATCCCACCACAGGTCTAGCTGGAACAAAAATTTTTATAGATACCGGAGCCGATAATTTCAAAAAAGCGCCGTTACAAAAAAGAAGTTACAAACTTTTCAGTTTTAATTTGATTTAACTGCTCAAGAAAGCAAATTTGGTAGCCTAAAATAACGTTCTTGATCTAAAAATGAAAATGAGCCAAAAAAACGATACTCAATTGCTGTTACGAGTATTGGAAAGTGTTTCAGTTTCGCCGAGTAAACGTCAAATGTGGTAAGGGAGCCCTTAGGGTCATGATTTCATCAGAAGCTATCTTCCTAAAAACTTCCCAGTGTGAAGAAAAACCGGTCTGATATTTTTGCGTTTTTGCTGAAACTTTACGACGAATATATAGCGAAGATCATTTTTCATGTTGTTTTTGATTTTTTTTTCATTGATAAAGCCATGGATAATTTGTTTTAGTCCAAGTTCAAGAACAGCCCAAACTATAAACAAAAGGTAAAAAACACAAATAGTCAGGAGACCGCAATAAAAAAGCGCAACAGAAGAGTGACTGGAAGAAGGCGTGACAAATAAGTCCGTTCTGAAATTGATTTAGTTCACGTCAGTTTTAATGGATGACATGATT